TTAGTTTCTCTCTCGTAATTACTAATGAAAAATTAAAAATTAAATATATTATAATTACTATTCATAATCTGTAATATCATTGAGTTGAGACTGATCTTTTGCATTAAAAAAAATAATATTAGTAGAAACTGAAATAATAAGAGAATAATAAGAGAATTAGTTAAATTCCTCTAAATTTTGCAGCTATTTTATCTTCATTTCACTCCTTAATATTATAATCGTTTCTTTCTCTCTCTAGAAAATTAATTTTTCTTTTTTCTTTCTTTTTTATTTCGTGCAGTATCTAAAAATTTAATGATTTCAATAATTAATAAGCCTCCAGCCTAATTGAAGCATTTAAAAGTTTTATCTACTTCTCTAAATTATTTCTATTAAATTATTCTTATGAAATTATTTTGAATTTAAAAATTAATTAAATGAATCTGAATTATTTTTGTCATCAAATGATGACAACTATTTAGAAAAGTAAGGAATAATATAAGTATTACGATGTAATTATCGATATTAACAAAGTGCAGTTTATATTGGATATGTTGAAAACACAGTTTTATGTCAATGTTTCTTATATAATTAAAATAAAAATTTCCTATATAATTAATATATTGGTATAATAATTTCAAATGCTCTTTTCACATGTACTCCAAGTATTTGCTATTATTAAAAACAAAAATAAACAAAAATAAACAAAAATTAATTACGTCGCATTAATGTGCTTTAATTGACACAATATAAAATCTACCATAAAAAGTACATTATTTTTTTAAACGTGTGGTTTGTAAGATAATAATATATTCAAAATATATTGTTTGATATGTTGACACGCATTATCATTATCTAACACTGATGCCATTGCATGAGACATTATGATCCGAGTTTGTCAAATATTATCATCAGCAATAAATGAAGTTAAGGAAAGAGCTAAAATGATAAAACAATATCATATCGAAAACATACTGCCCGGTTCTCCTTTTTTTTTTTTTTTCTTTTTTTTTTTTTTTTTTTTTTTTTAATGAATAATATACTCAGGCAAAATTTCTCATATATTTACAATTATTATGAATGAATTATCTTTGAATTTTCTGTAATACTTGTATAGTATAATCAAGAGACAACTAATATCGAATATGTCTTAAAAAAAATTGAAAAAGTGAAATTCAATTAATACGCGGATAAATTTATTGAATAAAGTACCAGATAAGCAATCAAGAATTCGTAAGTAAAAAATTATAAGCGAATACTCAGCGCCTTTGAATATTTTTTCAGACAAACAATATTAGGTATTATTGCTACATAGAATATGAAATATCTCGGGCCGACACATTATATTTTCTTTCAATTTTTATCTAACCACTGATTGAATTTATTTTAATACAGTGTGGTAAAAGAAAAAAAGCTCTCTTTAGAAAAATAAATCACTCCTATGTTCGAAAAGATAGGTAACGATGTGTCTAGTTGCTGAAAATGTAGTTTTCAGATGTATATGACCGGGGCGATGGGGGCGAGGGGGATCGATAGGCCTATAAACTCAGGAAATCCGGGCTCAATACGTATTCGGCTTCGATTATTGTATCATTGCGTTATGACCCAGGTCGAATTCAGCTGGTTCCCTGGCTCAACCCCTTAATCGCTTGGCCCTCAACCCTCACACATCTTGTATAGCCGACTTCGTTGGGCTTTACAGTTAACGGCAACGAGTCTCGTTATGAACGCGCGATTTCCGCGTGGATGCGAAAAAAAGCGAGATGCGCTCCATTGCTTTTTGATGTCGTTGTGAAGACCAACCAGGTGTACCATTACCACCGCTTATTTTCATGTGGATATTTCTCACTCATCCCCACCACCACCACCACCACCACCACCACCACCACCCCCTCTGCTTTGGTTCGCTTTGAAATTTATTCTGTCCGAGGCGCGCGTTCGACAAAAAAAAAAATCGCGTGAATCTGGAGTTTTACTAGACAACTCATAACGCTGAATGTTTTATAAGGACATTTGATACGAGGAAGTTGTTGGTTTCGCAATTTTTCGAAATTATTGCATATTAAATAAACGAATAAGTTTGTATTTTGTAAAGTTAAGGACTTTGCTGCTTCAAGTGGTGAATTTCAAATGAATAAAATCTTTAATTGGTGACTTACATTAGTGGAGAAGAGGCATTGCGTGCACCGCTTTAATGATAATAATTGTAATATTCGAAATTCAATTTTCACCGAAAAGACTACAGTAAAAAGAAAAAATATCTTTTTTATTAATGATGAAAAATAGATAATTTAGATAGATAGATAAGTTGTTAATTACTTCACAATGAAGGATATCGCACTAACAAAAAGTACAAAAGGATGGCTGAAAAACTTTCAACGGTAGTACTAGTAGTAAGTTATTACATAGTACTAATTTACAAAAGCGACTAAAAAACTTTCACTTAATCTACATTTAAATATTTCTATTTTGTAATTGCATAAGTCGAATATGCCATTTTATACATTTGAACAATAATTTAAATCCTTACTTTTATTAAACAAAATAAAAACTTTTTCTTTTAGTGAAATGTTTAAAATTTTATTTCAATTAAATAATTGATTTGACTATCGATAGAATATTAAATAAAAATTATCATAAGACACAATGAATAATATACTATTTCGAGTTATGTACTAAATAATTTCGTAGGAAATGAAAATTCTATTGTATTTTTTCGCTAACCTCTTGTAAAATTGTATATTTTTATCAAAATCATATTTATTTCCTTTAAGATTCAGATTTATTTTTTCACAAACATACTTTAATTGAATATAAATTACCATGTTAAATTGCAATAAAATAACTTTTATTTCTTAAACAAATGTAATAAAAAGTGCATAAAAATTGTTAAATACAGCTCGTAAATATATAAAAATTCCATTTCGTTTAACATTTATGGTATTTGAGTATTATAGAATGCAAAACTACAATTGTGTCAAAGCTTAGCTACAAATTATTATTCAAATCCATTTTACTCGTTCACTCATTTCATCATAATTAATTTACAATTAATAATTATAATTAAATCGGCCATGAAATTTCTATAGCCGAGTATGCCACGTAACTTGAAAATTTCATGAATTATCGTATAATTTTTTAAACATATTTTTAAAAATGACAGGAACATCGAACGAACTTCTAAGCCCTTTCCTTAGTCATTCCTAATTAAAATTCCAAGTGGCGCATTGACTTAAACCGGCTCCCATAAAAATCGATTTTCAATTAAAACTTCTGTCCCTCCGAAGCATCTATATCTAATCAATAAACATTCTTAATCATTGCACTCAAAATCCCATTGTACCAATATTATCTCGCCCGTCTAATTCTCCTTCGTCACAAGTTTCGGCGTTAAATCAACATCAATATCCCCACACGCAATAATAATCCTCTATTATTATTTTCAAAATCCACGGCTTACTGCAAGAGGAGTAGCAATAGACGCGGAATAAAATTTATAATTTTGATAAAATTCAACCCAATTCAACGTGACTCGTTGGCGTGATTATCAATCTTTAATCACGTCTCTTGCCACGATTCTCTAAGAGAACACATAGAACGTCGTCGAGCGCTAATTTCGAGGCCGATCGAACCTTTGAATAATGCATCGCATCCCTTTTCTCTCCTGGAATTAGCAATCTCCGGAATGAGAAAGTTCTCTTTATCTCCCTCTTATTGGCCATCTGGAATGGCATCACTTTTCACTTCCTACTGTAGCTGGCGGTTTGCGTTCTACCGCAAAAAGAACATCGAGCGAATATGATGTGCAAATTACGATACATTAAAATTCAAGAGAAACTCGCATTGTATCGCTCATCATTCTTGTTGTCGCGATTTGAATAAGCTAAATATATTTTACAGATTAATACAGCAAATTCATAAACTTACAGTTCATTGTTTCATCTCTTAGCTGCAAATTTCTTTCCACCCCTTTTACTTTTATCTTTTCTCGCGATTAACCATTTTACTCTTCAATTTCAGTCTAATCACCTTCAACGTCACTGCCCCTGATAGTTCGATTCTGTTCGCATTGCTTCTTTTACTTTTCAACTTGATAGAGTGTTATCATTTATAACAGTTTAAAATAATTATTCTAGTTAGCAGCGTTTTTCAGGACGACTTTACGTTTTAAGGAATTTAGCTTAAAATACATAAAAACAAACATAATTTGTAATAATTTTAACTACAGCTATTTAATTACATTAAAACACAATTGTATTCGTAAAATTAAAGTGTAATTGAATTTTTTTTTTTTTCTTTTCATTACACATACATTATTCTCAAACGCAACGATTCATTATAATAAAAGAAAGAAAGAAAAAAAAAATGAATTAATTTACAAATAATCCGTATATCATTTATTTATTCAGAAAATCCCTATTAAATATACAATCAGATTTTCTTATCCACAGAATTTTCAAATATCTTTTTCTTTATCTCACTGTGACGTAGAAGGCCCAATAGCGTTGTATAAAATAATTTTATTTCATAATATGTACAACAATATGTATACAATATAGTTAATTCGTATCACATAAATATTTGTATATAAATTCGGGAAAATTTGTAATAAAACATCGGTATATTATTTTTATTTAAATTGCAATTTATAATGAAAATAGCTTTGAACTTATACTCTTATATAAAGTAAGAGTAGCTGGCTCTCAAATTTTAATAATAACATATTTCAATGAAACATCATACCAAATATCTTATTATTGCTTGATTTGAATAGCATTTATCTAAATTGTAAATAAGACAAAAATGCGCTCCTATCTCATTATTATTCATTGAAATTATTAAAAAAAAAAAAAAAAAAAAAAAATCCTATTTCTCTATCAAAATTTTTGAATAATTTTATATTTATAAAGTACTATATTTACTGAAATTGATATTAATATATAAATAGCTGTATCAAAAACAAATAAAATCTGAAATTTCGTTTTAATTAAACTAGTTAACAACAATTATTATATAGTACCACTTAGTAATTAGTTTGATTTTCATTTATCATAATGTTTTAAAAAGTATCTGAAACGATGAAAGAAGTCTTGTGATGTGACGACGTCAAGGAACAAAAATTGTGAATTTTCAGGATCAACCTCTACATTTAAAACAGTCGTTTCTTTATAAATCCATAAGTATGGTTCGCTGCCAGATTCTACTCGCATCTTTGTTATTGATCTTCCAGTTTCTTTTAGCACGAGATCTTGTATACTGTAACGCAGGGCATCTATACCTACAATGCAAATAACAGATATTTTAATAAATATTAATTTTGAATATAGCTTTGTTACATGTAACACTCGAACAAGGTCAGTGGTATTGACGATAAACTTAAAATAGATAGATAATTGTGTGGATGGGAAAAATTTTAATATAACGACGATTGTTAATATAATTAAAAATTTGAATACCTATTAATAGTTTAAGAATTTCTGGATTGAAGGTGAAATTTAAGATTGAACTTGCTTACATATTACATTTTCAAGCATTGAATAGCGTAATAAATACTATAATGAATATTTGAAATAAAATAATTAACAATTTAATCGATAGAGCCTCAATGGATTAATAAAATAAAAATCATAAATATGACGTACAGCGAGTGTAGGGCAAAACGTTCAAATGAATTTAAATGAAGAATTAAATTTTTTATATTTACATAAATTCATACAGAGTACCCTTAAATTAATTTTCACTTCGTTCGGTTTTGCCATTTTATTTTGCTTTTTCTAAAATCAAATTTACCAGTTAATTTCGTTGCTGAAATCGCAAATGCTTCATCCGGTAATTCTTCAACTCGGATTAAATCGCATTTGTTAGCAATTTCGATCATAGGCCTATTTCCATCCGATAATACTTTTAACGTATTCCGAACATGATCGATTTGCGCTTGACTATCTGGATGACTTACGTCGTAAACATGTACTATAATATCCTAGAAAAATAATTGTTCATTATTAGTAATATTTATTTTCAAATAAAAATCGTACGAAAAATATTTCCTCGTAATAAATTGAAATGCTTGTACAATAAATAATATTATCAACAAACTCACAGCAAACATTGCATCTTCGATTGTAGTGTTAAACGGTGCCAGTAATGTTTCAGGAACATCCTGTATAAAACCAATTGTATCGATATAAAGAACTTTCATTTTGCAGGGTAAAAAGCCTTCGTGCCCAGTTGTGTCAAGCGTTGCAAATAGATAATTTTTTGGCTCTAATCCTTCGTCTCCGGTCAGTGCTATAATTCATTAATTTATTTGGATTATTGTGTTAGTTAAATTTTGCTGATTTTATAATGGAATGTGACATGAATGAAAATTGGCAATGTAAGAGAGACCAAATTTAGAATGTAAAGTCTACATCAATGGATAATTATAGAACATTTTTCATGGTGAATGGCAATAGTATTAACGAAATTATAAATTAAAATCAATAAATTTTAAACTACGGTTAAATGAAAGCACTGCTTATGTCACTAAGTTTGATTGCAAAGGATCTTTTATTAAATTAAATATCAATTAGTTTCTTAAACTTCACCTTTTATTACGGAAGTCTTTCCTGCATTGGTATACCCAACAAAGGCGATGGTGGGTATACCAATTTTTTTTCTTCTCGTACGAGTCATATTTCGATATTGTTTAATCTTCTCCAATGCTCCTTTAAGCTTTGCTTCTCGAGCGTGTAAATATAATTTACGTTTCTCTAATAAATTTATTCTTCCATTAATTTCGCTCATTTTTTGATAAATATAGGGAAGCTCGGCAATCGCTACTTGAATTTTAGCTTCAGGACTCTTAGCGTGACTTCTAAATATGTGTATGACAAGGGAATATCTATCGTATACGGGCACACCAAATATCTTTGCAAGCATTAAAATTTGTTCGTGCCTCAATGTATTTACGCTAATAAAAACTGCAGTGATACTATTTCCATTTAATTTCTTTTTAATGATTTCAAGAGTACCTTTACCGAATAATTGCTGTCTTTCAAAACTCAATAAGGGAACGCATATCTTATCAGCTACAGTCCAGTACGGCAAAGTCTTGACTAAAGCTACCGCTTCGTCAATTTGTAAATTTTTAGTAGTATTATATTTTTTATTCCTTCCCCACTTAATATATGGCTGAATTACAAAAACTCGATGGCCTTTAGCTATAATACCAAGATATTCGTTTGAAATTTGAATATATTCTGGATCGCACAATTCCCTTTGTTCATCCACAAAAAAAAATGAATCATCGTGTTTGAATCGTGAAATTAAAATCGATGTCTTTCTAAAAAAAGCTGTCTTCTTATAAATCAATTCCCTTTGAGCGAGCGATGTAATTCTTGCAAATATTTTTATCATTGTAAATTTTAAATATAAACTATAAATAAATATGATTAAATATATTAAACATTAAACTCATTCTTTCGTCATGAAAGACTTTCTTACTTGTCTTAATCTTAATTTTGGTATAATAAAATTAATACGAAAATAAGGTTAAAATGCCAGCACTCAATATTTTTCTACATTTTTACAATAATTGTCAGTCTTGATTTGAAAATAACAACTACATAATTAAACCTGAAAAACATCATTTGATATTAAAATCTCCAACAATAAAAACATTGTTTACTATTTTATTAATTAATATGAGAAAATACCATAAATAAATATAACCACCAAAAAAATAGCATAAAATATTATTAATTCACAGTACAATATAAAAAAGCAAATCTAATTAGTGTTTAACACTTTAAGTCCAATGACAATAATTATTAAATAAATAATTGTCTTATTATAAGTAATTCTAAATATTACTATAAAAAATACATTCTTTTATTTTGCATCAGAACAAAATACTTATCAACTAACGATAAGTTATAATCCGTTTTCTTCGGCTCACTTTCGAATTTCTAAAATTATTTATATCAACTTTATACTCGATTTAAATACTGTGATACTTTCAATTACCATGACCATAATTAAACAATAATTATTATCATATAATAACTTGCTCACATAAAAATATTCATATCTCATTTTATGTTAATACATTTATCTTTCGATTTCTCCTTTCAAACTCCTTCAAAATCAACCATTAACAATCAACAAATTTTTTAATCGACAAAAAAATTTTAATTCTACCTATTAATATGTACAAAAAATCACTTATGGTAAAAAAATTAATACTTGAATCTTTGAATAAGCGATGGCGCTAGTATGCCTTTTTCAAATTCATCTGCAAAAATGATGTGTTCATTTGGAAAGAAACGACAATAGTGTAAGATCAATGATAATCAAATGAAAATCAACATAAATACCATTTTTGTTTAGTTTATTATTAAAAAAAAAAAAAAAAAAAAAAAAAAAAAAAAAATTAAAAAGAAATTTTGAATCTTTCACTTTTTTTTTTTTTTTTTGAAACTTGAAGCAAAGAGTATTTTATTGATGTGAAAATGCAATTATTCTTTCACAAATCTTTATAAAAGTCTAAATATTTTACCATATAAATAAGAAATGGTAAAATAATAGTAATAATAATTTTGATATTGGATTAGATAAACGAGTGCAAAAGCAAATCCCATATTTCTACTTCATCAATTTCATAAATACTAAATGCGACAAAAAATTTAATTTCTAAATACAAAAGTTTACTATTATTGTAGAGACTAAATTTCTTTCTTGTAAATATATTATATGGTTTTGCATTAATTTTCTTATTTAATAAGAATTTTTTTGCTTCTTTAATTAAAACACAACGAATGACAATTTTAAATCTCACATGTTAAATAAATATATATCATTTTTTAAACATAAAAAGGTAACAAAATACTTATTATGATGTGTATCGATATTGATAATTATAAATAATTTTTCTCACAAATGTTTTTTCCTACAACATTATACTAAAAAATAAATAAACAAGGAAAAAACAGCGATTTCGCAAGACAAAACATATCCTGTGGAGATCCAATAGTTATATCGATAGATCACCGATTTCATCAACACATATATATATATATATATATATATATATATGACAATTTATCAAATCAAAGTTGCCAATGAAAGTTATCTATCGTATAATTATTAAATAATGTTGCAGATACCAAATGGTAAAATGTATTTTTCTCCAAGATTATCATCTTACAGGCAGTTTTTCAAAGCAGACAGAATCATCTTAATGATAGCTGTAACTTGTATATATAATGTTCTAAAATGCAGTAGCAAAGGATTCTTTGCACTGCTATAAAGTACTATTTTTACATTTTTAAATAAATCTGCACTTTACAATTAATAATTGTAACTAAATTTACTATATTCTAATATTTACGATATTTATACTTGTTTTTAAAATGTCAGTAAGAGAAATTAATTTGGTGAATTATCAGCAAATGCATTAAGAAACCAAATATAATACATTAATTGTAATATATAACAATATGTATATTGTAAATACTATACGAAAGTTTATACATAGTCTATTATTAGTTAATTTATATACAAATTATAAATAATAGAAAATAAAATATTCTCTATGCATATAATTTGTTTGGAGCTTCGTTATGAATTATGAAAGAAAAATCTATAATTGTTAAGATGCGTTTAAATAAAATTTTTTAATTAGTTGTTTAATCTCACTACAATGAATAAATTATAATAGAATATAACATTGGATGAAAGTTGATTCAACAACAATCTAAATGCAAAACAAAAGTCTATTAAATTTTTTTTTTTTTTTAAAGAATCAAACATATAATTGCTAAACGCGTGTGTTTTTATTGATATAAACATACATTATTACAATGGGATTCATTAATATGACATTGATAACTAATAAAATGTAAAATAATTCTTTCCTTAACAGCCAGAAATACGTTTCTTATACAAATAGAATATTGGTAATATTTAGCAATATGATTGTGATTTGCTCTAGATTTGTTAGAGACCTGTTTAAAAAAAAAAAAAAAAAAAAAAAAAAAAAAAAAAAAACTTATTTCATACATAAGTTATATGTGCAATGTGAAAATTAAAAATTTCACTCATTTCAGCCATTTTTATCTTTTATTTGTTTTTAGCTGAACTTTTTTTAATAACAATTTTATTTCACTTTTTTTCGCCATTAAATGTTGATAATGGAAATTACGATCATTTAATCGATTTCCCTCAATATAAAATGCATTAAACATAAACAAGAAATATAATAATGAAGAAAAAAAAATTAGAACTACGGAGACAAACATCCTGACTACGTATAATTTCTAGCTATATGGAATTCCCATACGCATACTTTAAAATCATTATATTTTGCATCTGTTTTTGTTTGTCTAATTTATCCGTTAATAAATACATCATTTTAAAAACAATAATTGATTGTTTCTAATTGTATTTAATTGGAAGTAAGCATTAACGAATAGACGTTAATTACAATTAACTATACTACTATTGCAAATTGGATTTATAACCTAAAATACAAAAAGACTTAGTCATTGAATGGGCATTAAAACTAATTCACACGCGCACTCGAAAAGTAAAGTTGATTGGCCCTCGCCTAAACATCCGATAAAATTTCAAATTGCTACACAATGCTACATAATTGCAGTAATTTATCGTAATTTCGGCACACATTAATATTTAATATAAGTTAATTTTAATGATAATAAATTGCCACTCCAAAGATCAGGAGCGGAAATTTATTTTTTAACTTGCTTGTTTAATAAGATTGTCAATATTTTTTATACCATCTCGCCAAAGTTCTTGTTGTTAGCTATGTTGATTTGTGCACTAATTCATGCTCGTTGATTGTTGCGTGTGTGAGTGTATTTGCGACATTTGAGTAAACAAAGTAGAATGTTTAATCTTCAAATCAATACGTCACAATCGAAAGTTTATAAAAATGAATTGTATCCCGCTAACGATATTAATAATTTTTTATCTTATTATTATTTAAATTATATTAAATGTGTTTGTATATATGCGTAGGCACAAGTGCGCCCGTACATTTTATAGTTTTTATATTTAATGTTATTAAATATTAATTATTTTATACGACAACTTACATAAAGAATATCAAAATACTTAACAACTAAAATTAGAATGAAAGTTTGGAGTATATTTTAGAATATGTATAACTGTAATTACTAATTATTTATCCAATATCGTAAATAAGTCACGATTAGTATTATGAAAATTTTATTATCCCAACTTCATGTAATTTGGTAAAGAAAGTTTGCCAAAATTTAATTAAAAAACGGAACAGAAAATACGCTTTCATTTTTTAAAATTTAAACGATGTTTTAACTATCATTTATCACGTCAACTTTATATTTTTTATATTTTTCAAAATTCACTTTTTAATGTTTAATCGTATATTTTCATAAGTCATACTCTTAGTTTTATCATCGTCATATATGTATAAAGACAAGATTCACGGCTCATAAACTAAAGCCTGAATGTCTAAAAATGGAAACTATTTATGTACTTCGTTAAGTTTGGAATATCATTTCTTGCTTAAGATCTTTGGTTTTTCGTAATAAAAAGTACAAAATAATAATTGGATAATAGTTATCTAGTTTCATTATCTAATTTCATTATTATTTTATTTGTTGATATATTATAGTTATACGTAAGTAATCAGAATTCGACCCGATAAATTTCATATAATATAGCGAAGTATTAATTTTTCATGTTATTTATTAAATCATTCATCATTGAATTGAATTTTCCTTTAGTAATCACTGCGTCATAATGGTATAAATTAATATTAATATATTAACGGTTCAAATCATTTTCATACATAGTGATTTTTTAAATGATTTAAATATCCAATATTTGCGTCAATTTTATGAAAATTCACGTTCCATGAAAATGTCGTATTAATGTTAAAACGAGCTTATTATAAATCAAAATATTAATACGTCAATTGTCGTAAGTTTAATCGTAAACTACAATTTTTAAATTGTAATTTTATCGCAATTTTATATTAAAAAAAATAAATAAATAAATAAATAAAAGCCACGTAAACTCGAGGATGATTGATATAAACAAGCAAATGAGTAAATTGGCGTTTCTATTCGAATAATTCATAATATGAAAGAAAACCCAAATGGAAAACTTTGATATAAGATTCGCAAAGAAAATATACGGTTCCTGAGCCAACGGTCTATAAGTATTTTTGGATACTTTGAAAATGCAATCTCTACTTGCCTAAAATAATAGACATAATGGAGTGAATCTCAGTATTAATGTAATGAATCTCTCTACTTATAATCAAAATTTCGACAAACGAAATTAGAAAATCGAATTATATACAAAAATCATCGTTATTCTGTAGCAAATCAGCTCCTAGTTACTATTGACTATTAAACATTTTATTCGTATCAACG